GCGGAACACGTCAGCTGTGAAGGAAGAGAACGCTGACCCACGCCACGCCGCAGGTGAACCTCGCAGACACGGGGCCAAGTCAGACAAGCTGGTCACAGAAGGACGAGTACTGTGTGCACCACCGGCTCACGTTCCCCTCTCCCTGTGTCCTGGGGTCACCTCCCAAAGAAGCCACTTGGCCTTGAATGTGCGTGTCTGTTTCTGGGGGAACCAATCACATGAGGGTGAGTTTGTGTTTGCTTGCATAGACGGGTTACGTTTTTATATATAAATCCCAGCTGCACCCCGAGCTGGGAGCAACTTACTTAACCTCCCTGAGCCTCAATTCCTGCAGCAATAAGTGGGGCTGGTAGTAGTAGTAGTCGTGGGCTGGGGCGCCACAAGGTAGCACCTTTTCTCCCGGCCCTGGAGGCCGGCAGTCCCTGATCTGGGGGCAGCGGGCCGGGGTATACGCAGGCCTCTGTCCGCAGCCTCCCGCCTTCCCTCTGGGCACATTTGCCTCCTAATCTCCTCTTCTTACCAGGACACGGTCAGATTGGAGTGGGGCTCACCTCAGTGACCTTTTTAAATCGTAATCATCTCCTGAAATACCCTGTCTCTGCGCACAATCACGTCGGGAGGTGCTGGGCAGTCCAGCCTCAGCAAATGAATCTCAGGGGGACACAATTCAGCGCATCACTGGGACTGAGTTAACAAGGGGTGAGTACCTGGCACATAGCAAGGGCTGTATATGAATACTTTTACATAAAAGTAAGATTTTCTGGACGAGTCAAAGACACGGCCAACAGTGTTTACCCCGGGGGGGCTGGGGGGGTTGCTGGGGCTGGGGCATCCTCTGACACCAGATTCTATGCTTTTATTACCTTAATTCTCAAACTAACAACAATGATAAAGTAGTAACCCTGTCAGAGCACCTGCCAGTGCCTGGTACCAGTTGGAGGTGCCTGGAAGGTGGGTCTTCTCCTCCCGTCTGTGGGTCAGGCCTGCGTCCCAGGGAGAGGGGAGGGGAGTGCAGACCCCTCCCCAATGTCTGTTCAGCTTTTGTCTCGATTATTTACACCTCCTGGAGGATCAGCCTCCTGGTTAAACCCTGGGGCGCCATGAAGGGGCTTGGGCCTCAGGCCAAATGCTCCACCCGACCCACCCTGCCCCTCCCCTCCCAGGCATGTCTTGGGGAGGGGGGCTTCTCCAGGCCTCCTTCTGCTTGAGGAAACCGCTGCACCTGCTCCCTTCTTTCGCTGTCCCAGGGGTCTCAGAGCCCCTCCTCCAGCTGGACAGTGTTGCCCTGGGAACCATTTATCCATTGCTCAAATGGGGGAAACTGAGGACAGAGGGTCCCCAGAGAGTCCAGATCCCTCTGCAGCTTCACCTACATTATGCTTCAGTGTGAGGTCATTGGAGGTCACCTATCATCCCTCCCAACTATGGAAGAGGCTGCTCTGACCCTGGAGGAGGTGGGGCCCAGCCAGCTCTGGGGTGTCCTCCACTGAGGTTGCCCCAGAAATAAACAGGGGAGGAGCCTGAACTGGGGAGGGGACCTACTTGGCAGGGGTGTCCCATGGAGACAGGCTTGGGAAGCTCAGAGGCCTCCCCCACCAGAGGGACAGCTCCACGGCCCCCCAGCAGGGCTTGGGGTCCCATCCCAAGAAGGGTCCTACAGGGCCACGCCTACGGGGACCCCAGCAGACAGGAATGGGGAGGCCCCAGGTCTGGGGGTGCGGCCCTGGGTTGGCCTGTGCATTCTGGATACACAGCGGTTTCCAGCCTGCCTGAAGCCGCTTGGTCTGCCGCCGCCTTGTGCCCCATGTGAGGGAAGAACGCTTGTCTCTCCTTTCTTTTTTCTTCCTTATAAATTTCGTTGAATATTTTTCCTTCAATTGTGATCTTTGGGGCTCACAATTAACTGTGACGTGTAACTCAAAGCACCACTGCCCCTGCACAGGCTCACTGGGCATCCGCTAGGTCTCAGTTTCCCCATCTGAGCAATGGGAGGCTGGACTCTTGCTCACACTCTATGGCAGGCTTGGAGGGGACCCAGCTTCACAACTGGAGGTGAGGAAGACCTGCCCGTCAGAGTTTGGGCGAATGGAGGGGGTGGGCACCCCTGAGGCGCAGAGGCCGGGCCCCGCTGTGAGCGGTCAGTACTCAGTTCATTGTTCCCCGGAGCTGGTGTGTGTGTGTCTGCTCATGTCTGTGTGTCCATGAGCATGTCTGTGCCTGTGCATGCACACATGTCTCTTTGTGCACAGGACTATTCCCATGTGCACATGCCCACTAATGTGCATAAACCCATGTGTCTGCAGGGCCACATATGATGCGCCAGGCCCTTGTGAATGGGGAAACTGAGGAAGCTTCTTCTGGCAGGATCTAGAGCAGCCTATCCCGCTCTGGAATCCAAGCCCCGGCCCCAGAGCCAGTTTTGGACAAATGGACACGAAGCTCTGGAAAGACCCAGAAATGGGGAGCCCTGGAATGCAGGAGGGAGGCTGGTGGTCCCCAAGATGTTCCACATGTGCCCACAGGAGAGTCTACCCCCTTCTGAAGACGCCCGTTGCCTCCGGGTGGGTCTGGACACAACCAACCTCACTTGCTCAAACCAAGTCTCCAGCTACTACCCGAGGAGGCTCCGCCCCGTCTCCTGCCTGGCTTCCTCCTGCAGGGCCTTTGCTTACGCTGTTCCCTCTGCCCAGACTGTTCTTCCAGTCCCTTGTACTGCCCTCTTTCCCTAGGTGTGATCATCTCCCCAAGTACGCCGTGCGCCTCAGTCGCCCCCAGAACGCGCAGCCCCGTGGCAGGTGCCTTTTTGCGGAACAAACGGAATTCAGAATCTGCGCCTAGCTCGGACTAGGCTCGGATTCGGCTAGGGGACCCCGGGGTCATTCCAGGGCAGTTCTTTCCTGCTCTGTGGGCGGGGCTCTCCCGGGCATCGCAGGGAACCACCTCACCCGGCAGGATCTCCAACGGTCCGACTGGGCGGGCTCCCCCCTCCTCCCCGAACCCCTTGCAGTGTGCCTCCCCCCATCCCTCATGGTCTGGAAGAACTTGGCTCCGGCGGATTCATCTGTTCCTTCCACGTCATTGAGACTTTTCTGGCTTCCAGCCTGGCTTTAACAGGGGTGGGGGATTGGTCGCCAGGACCCCAATGCGGCGCCAACAGCCTTTTGTGGCGCCATCTGCCCTTGTCAATCTCGAGACTCCCGCCTCCAGGGACCACCAATCACAGCGCAGGCATCCCGTTTCATCACCAGCAGCCAATCAGCGCTTTCGCTGACCGGTCGGGCAGCAAGGTGGGAGCAAGATCGCTCCAGCCCCCTCCCCCGCCGGGCCCCACCCCAGGGCCTGGCTCTGCCCCCCTCACGTCCGCATCCATCCTCAGTCACCCTGTCACCGTCTGCTTAGCGGACACCCATGGGCCGCCGCGCACCACTCGCAAGGCTGTGCCTTGCTGCTCTGAACCTCGGTCTCCTCCTCTGTAAGATCGAACAGCGCTACCCCTTGGAAGTTCTGGCTTAAGTGAGATCCTGCGGTCCCTGCAGGGCTGGCCACGTGGAGGTCTTCCAGGGGCCGAGAACGCGGGGTGGGTTCAGGGCTGGCAACTTCCTCAGGTTCTTGTCTGCCAGACGGAGAAGTGCCCCCCAACTCCCAGGGCTGATGCTGGGGTTCCTGCTTTGATGGAGGTACCCATCCTGGCCCCCAAGCTTAGCCCGTCCAGCCGACTCCTTCCAGGATCTGCACCCATCTCTGTGCTGGTCCTCAGAGGGCCCCTCGGACCATGCAATCCCAGCCCCTGGGGGACCTGAGCCTAGTGTTTGGGGCCTCTTGCAGTGTTTGTGAGTAGGGCCCCATAATTCCGAGTTCTGGTCAAGGTGCATCCGTGGAGGCAGGAGGAAAAAGCTGGATCTGTGGGTTCATATTACTTTGATCTCTACCTCCTGTGCACACAGCCATGCAGTTCACAGGCCCAGCCTAAGTGCGTGCCTGTTACAGGCTCCAAATATTGTTGGCAGGAGGTTGTGGAACCAGATTCAGCCACCTCCCTGCCCGGGAGCTCCCACTATGTGCTTGGGACACCGATGGCCCCGGGCAGGTCTCTGGGGTCAGAGTCCACCCCTTGCAGGGCCCTCCTCCACTCCTAGGGATGTCCAGGCTGCTCAGAGCACCCACAGGACCCTGGGCCCACCCCCAACCCCACCCACTTTCATCCCCAAGATACACACAGACCAGCTCAGGGCTGCACACTCGCATTATTTATTTTGCTTTTCCAGTCTGAAGCTACTATCATGGGCATTTAGTTATACAAATGACACTTACAAAAAATAAAAGACCAAGACACCCAGAGTGAGATGCATGGCAGAGATGAACTGGTGGGGGAGAGGGGGGCTGGCAGGGGCAGGGCTGGGAGCCAGGGGCCTGGGGGCTCCCCATGGGGCTCCCGGTGGAGGGCAACGCCCAGCTTCATCCCACCCCGAGACCCGAGGAGTCCAGTCGGACAGGGAGCACCGATCACACCGGGGGCTCTGGCTGAGGCGGTGAGGGGCTCAGCACCAACCAGATGGGGACACAGGCCTGGGCAGGCAGGAGGGAGGGGGCCAGTGAGGGCCCCCAAGGAGGTAGGGGCAGGTTCTCGATGAAGGGAAGCACCCTGCACCCCCCACAGCTAGCAAAGGAGGGCACCAACGCCCAGAGATGCTGTTTCAAGATTCCCCCACAAGACCCCTTGAAAATCACTCGTGGCTACTACCACCAGGCTTGCCTGGGTGCCTCCAGCAATAATGCTTCATTTAAAAAAAAAAAAAAAAAAATTGATTTGGTCATTTTCTGCTTCCAGTCAGGCCAGGGTGAAAAAAAGAGAGACAGCAGGGCCCCAGCCCAGGGCGGGGTGTGCAGTGGGGACAGGCCCACCTGGTGCAGAGGGGCAAGCAGCCGGTACACGCTGGTATCGCCCCCTCCCCCTCTTGTGGCCTTCCCCCTGACGCAGGGGTGGTGCACCAGCGGGGTGCCTGATAGGCTGGGGGCAGGCACCCAGTTCCAGGGAAGTGGGGGGCAGAGGTTCTCGGGAGGGGGCAGGAGATTCCAGTTACCCCACCGGGCCCAGGGGCTCGGGAAGGCCTCCCAGCTCCCCCCCGCCGCCCCCAACTCTCTTCGGCTGCTTTGGGGAAATAAGGCTCAGAGTCATCTGAGGTCAGAAGAAAGGGGTGCCAGCCTCGCCCACGGCAGAGAAGAAGAGGACAGAAGGATCCGAGATCCCTCCAAGGACCAGGCACGGGGCGACAGGTGGGGGCACCGTTTTCTCTGGGTTTCCAGTTTGAAAGGCAAGGGGCTCACCACCACGCTGGAGCCCACCTGGAGAAGAGACTTATTAGCAGAAGGGTCTGGGCAGGGCGGGGATGGGGCGCTGGCGGCAGGCTAGTACTCCCAGAGAGTGGCTGGCTCGATGGTCTCGGCGCAGGCCTTCAGGACCCCTGCATGGTCCCCCTTCAGGTAGCGCCCGCCCATCTTGATGGCCACTTTGTTGTAGTCACAGAATTCGAAGAAGAAGTCCACAGGGGTGTCACTGCTGCTGGTGACCGACGAGTCGCTGCCCACTGTCCAGTACTTGCCTGTGGAGTCTGGGGCGGGGGGCGGGCGGTGAGACCCATCAGGCCCCACCCTGCAATCACAGCTTCTGGCGTCGGGGTGGGTTCTGTGTGATGCCCACCCAAGCCTCCCACCCCTGCTGGACGGGGGTCCGTGCCTCTTCCCCCCACCCGGGCTTTAAGTCCCACAACTCAGGTGTGGGACACCTTCCCTGCCCACCCTTTCCAGAATCTGGTCTCCCTCTCTGCTCTGCTCCCCCTTCTCTACCTCGGGGGTCCTCCCATCTACACAAAGAGGGAAAAGGGCCTGCTGGCCACAGGGTGTCTGTCCCCAGAGCCAAGTCACAGGGCGGCCAGGCTGAGCCCCAAAGTGGGACAAGGGCTTAAATCCCTGTGGCCCCCTGGAGCCGCCCCCCTCAGAACCCACCTTTGATGTTGTAGGCACCGTCATTGAACTCCAGCTGGAAGACGTCATAGCTAGAGCGGTTTGCATCCAGGGTACCCGTGACCTTGCGGCAGCCGATGAAGCCATGCTCCCCACGAAACACGATGATGGGACGGTTGATGAGCTTCATGAGGAAGAGCTCTGAGTCCCCTGTCCCAGGAAAGGGGAGGGGCGGTGAGTCTCACAGGGTGGGGCTGGGATGATAGGGGCACGGCTCAGAGAGAGCGAGCAGGGAGTCTGGGGGTCCCCCAGCATGTCAGCCCTGGGATGACGGGGCTGACATGCTGGGGGGTCGGTGAGTGACTATGAGGTGGGCAGACCCTCCAGAGAACCCTGCAGTGGGGAGCTCCCACAGGTGGCTACCTGCTGTCTCCACCGAAGCAGCCAACTGCCCGTTCTTCTTGGCCGTCACAAACTTGCCATTGGACGCACGCAGTGTGATCCGCCGATCACGCCACTCGATGTCGAAATAGCAGCTGATGTTCCTGGGGGTGTCAGGAAGGGTCAGGCGGGGCTGCCCCAGGGCCCGGGGCCCCGACCCCCGGGAAGGGCCAGCCTGGGGCGCGGCGGCAGGGCACTCACTTGGTGGAGGCAGTGGACTGCACGCCCCCAGTGGCTGTCAGCGTCCAGTACTTGCCCGTGTGGGTGCGGAAGGCGCACTTTTTGGTGTCGCGGTCAATCTCCAGCTGGAAGGTCTCCTGGTCGGTCTCCTCATCCTGATTTGCTGACAGATCCATACCTGCGGGGAGAGCTTCCGACTGGCACGGGGACCCCCGCACCCTGAGCTGGGGCCGACCCACAGCCCTGCCCTCACACACCACTGCCAAGACCCCTCAGCCTCCACATCAGGGGGCAGGACCCCAGACCCCAGGCAGAGCCAGGCAAGGACCAAGGCTGGCTCTTTCGCGGATGCCAGAATACCTGCCAACAAACCATCTGCACAGACATTCTAGAACCAATCGGGAGAATCTTAGTGTGGACCAGGATTAAATATTAAGGATTAATTATTGTTAATCATATTGTAGCTATGTAAGAAAATGGCCTCATTTTTCAGATACCGACAAACATCTCGAGATGAAATGCCTTGATGTCAGGGATTTGCTTGAAATACAATCAAAAACAATGAATATAAGACAGATTGAGCTAGACTGCAGAATATCGCATTTGGGGGAAGTCAATAGATTATATCCTTCCTGTTCCTATATGTGTGTAAAAATTAAGAGTAAAATGTAATAGCACACGTTCGTTTCAGAAAATTTACAAAACTCATAAATGCATAAAAATGGAGTCACATGGGGGCGCCTGGGTGGCTCAATTGGTTAAGCGCCCGACTCGATTTCGGCTCAGATCATGATCTGAGTCGTGCGATAGAGCCCCGGGTCTCCGCGCTGAGCCTGGAGCCTGCTTGAGAGTCTCTCTCCCTCTCCCTCTGCCCTTCCCCGCCTGTGCTCTCTCTCTTGGGGGGAGGGGGGGCAGGGAGAGTCACACATACCCTCATGCCCACTGCACCCCAGAACACACTGCAAACGGCGGGTGAACACACCCTCCTCACCTTTTCCCCAGTGAAAACATGCATTTTCTCTACCTCAAAGTGCATGCGTGCCACAGATCACGACTTACAGATGATCTAAGCAACATGCTCATACACGTTTCCCTGTCCCTAAATCATCTGATGTAACCAGAGGGGGCTTCCGTGCTCCCACGAGCTGCTGCCCAGCAGCTGATCTCTGGGGCCCCATCTGCGTGGCCTCTTCCAGCTCACAACCTGGAAGTAGGATATTTGGTTCCAACAGAACAAATTCACATTCCGCAAGTGCCTGGGTTCTAAGAACCACAACAGCAGGGACACCTGCCCACTCTGCTGGCCGCCCAGACTCGGGGCTTGAAAGTGTGTCACCGTTTGGGTCTGGACACCTTTAGAAGACGGGACCACAGTGGGGGGGGTGGCATATGGCCCTTCAGATGAGCAGATGGAGGCTGGTGGATGGGGGAGCCCTGGTTCCCCACCCGAGACCCACCCGTAGTTCTCCACCACCAAGCGGAGGGCCCGAAGGGTGTGAGCCTGTCTTAACCCCCATCAGCACCAGGGGGTGGGGACCTTCACCTCTACTTCACGAAGGAGAATGAGGCAGAGGTGGTATGTCCTTCCCAAGGTCACCCAGAGAGAAAGTGATGAGTGCTGGTGAGCCTCAGGAGGGGAAGCGGGCAGACTCAGGCCTCCTCCCATGCTCTCTCTATGGACTGGTGGACCCAGGGCCCTCAACAGCTCCTCTCAGAACCCCTTGGGCTCAAGCCTCCAGGCCCACTGGGCCCCCTTAGCCCTGATGTCAAGGATCTGCTGACTACTGGGAGGCAGGTAGTGAGCCAGACCCACCATCACACCCCCAATGAAGATGAGGGTCAACAGAGACTAGGCCCCCGGGGTAGCCAAGCCACCAAGAATGGAACCATCATAAAAGGCCACTCTGGGGAGCACAAGCTTTTGAGGCGGGAGTCCCCAAAAGCTGGCAGACGTGCCCCACCCTACGAGCTAGCCCACCCCAGCCCCATGGCATCACCTGCCCAATGTGCGGTGCACTGGCTGACCAGAAGGAGGGACAAGAGGAAAGGCCCTGCCGGGCACGCTCTGGCAGCAGATGGGACAGAGGGGGATCTCCAGCAAGAGGGGCAAAGGGGGCAGGAAAGGGACTGGACCAGAAGTCCAATCTCTAGTCAGAGGTTAAGTACGGAGTCAGGAGGCTCCTTCTCAGGGAGACTTAGCCAGGGGCAGCCCCATGCTCCACGGAATCCACACTGATCTGCTCTTCCCACAGAGGAACAGAGGGAGGCCACACCCAGGGCCCCACAGCCGTGGGCCTCTGCTCGGCTGCTCGGACCCCATCGGCTGCTTGTGTCCAGTCCTGGACATGGTCTGATGAAAAGGCCTGGGCCATCCAGGGAGCCACCCAAAGTGGGGGCCAGGCACCCTCGGCAAGTGCCTTCCACCACTCAGCCCGCATCCCTCTATCAAAAGGGTTCTCCATTCTGCCAGGAGGTTGGAAGGATTCAGGGACCTGGTGTCAAGGTGACAGCAAGTCTTCCAAACCCAACAGGAAGGGGTATGGGGGGTGTCTCCCCAACATCCAGCAGGGCCCCTCCTGGCTCCAAGGCCCTGCCCAGGCGGGAAAGGCCCCACTTGGCCTTGGAGTCTCTAATTAGAGCTGGGTTACTATGGGAACAGGCTTTTCTTTGGGATTTTTCTTTTCATCAACTGCAGCAGCCGCACTGAGTCACAGGCCCACAGGAACCCTGGGGAGGCAGATGCTGGGCTGGAAGAAGCTCGTCTCCTGCCTCCCCCCCCCGCCCCCCGCCCTGCCTGTTCCTCTGCCTCATGGCTTTTCCTGTCGCCAGCCTCTGAGCCATTCCCTATGGTGGTTCAGAGAGGGCACTCCATCCCCCTCAGCCTGAGCAGTTTCCAAATTGCCCTGGCTGGTCCAAAAGAGGCACTCCCCACCACCCCATTCAGTTTAGGGGAAGCGGCCTGGAAGTTTCTGTGGCCTCCCCTCCCCTCCGCTCTCTTTCCACTACATGACCACCTCAGATCCTTCCTCCATCCTTGCACAAGAATTAGGGCATAAATTACCCCAAATGCCCTGCCTCTTCAGAAGAGCTTTTACACATCCTGCAAAGCCCAGCCTGACCAGCCCTTTTCTCAGCCGGCCGGCCAGCCAGCCAGCCTGACCTCAGAGTGCCTCTGAGTGGCTGGAACAGGGCGCTTCCTGAGCATGGAGCCCCAGGGCACAGCTGGCCAGACGCATGGAGGCTGACAGACCAAGTGGGAAATGTGGACGCAGCGTGGCTAGAGTGCAGGGCAGGCAAGACTTCCAAGGAGCAAGGCAGGGGAGGGACACACCCCACCTGGCTGGGAAGTGCTGCTCACCCAGCCACCCTGCCATCCTTCATCCCTGCCCAAGCCAGGCCCTCTCCAGTGACGTGGTCACATGGATTCCACCTGCCTATCTCATCAGTCCTCAGGCACCAGGAAGGACCCTCACATCAGTCCTCAGGCACCAGGAAGGACCCCACTCCCTGGTGGCCAAGTTGGCCCCCTTCCCAGAAACAAAGCCTGGCTCAAAGAATTAGCCCAGGGTGGCCCAGAGCCAGCCCTTTACAGATGGGGAAACTGAGGCCAGAGAGCAGGTTGCAGCGTCAGCAGGGAGCACCCCACCCCGACCAGGCAGGCCTGTGCAAGCCTGTGGGCATGATTCACATCCCGCTCCCCCCCCCCCCCCCCCCCCCCCGCGCCAGCTAAACCCAGGATCCTCCTCCTTCCTGGCTGGCTTTTCCCAACATGTGTCAGAAGCACAGACACCACCTCCTTTGCCACGCAGGCCTGTCCAAAATGGCCTCTGAGACACGCCCCCAACCCCATAGCGGCTGCAGGTCCTCTGGTCTCCTTCCATCCCACCAGGAAGCCTTGGGGTCAGCTAACCTGAGAATAAGATAAGGACACCAAGATCCGAGGCCCAAAGAGCCCCAATCTCAGCCCCTAAAGACCCCTCCCCCAGTTCTTTGTACCTTCAAATTCAGAGATGAGCCAACACTTCTCCTGGCCCAATTTCGGGCTCCCCCTGCCCCATCAGCCTGAATCACACCATGACACTTCCAGCAAGTGCTAATAAAGAGGAGAGGGCATCTGCCCAGACTTGCTCTGCTCTTCCTGGCCTCAAGGGCTGGGGCCAGGTCCACCCGCTCCTCCTCGTCTTCCCCAAGGAAGACACTGGATGCTGCCCAGCAGGCACGCAGCATGCCTGCATGGGTGAGTGCCCATCATGGGTCTGGTGGCCCCACTGGCGGTTCCAGTCCCACCTACCAACGTCACAAGCTCCTTCTCAGCCATGCTGGGCTTTCTGCCCCTCCTTGCCTCAGGGCCTTTGCACAAGCTGTGCTTGTTTTGCCTGTAACACTGTTCCACAGGCCTGATACATGCTACCTTGTATTCATCTTTCAGGTCAGCTCCAGTGACCTCTTCAGAAGTGTCTCCCCCACCCCGCACTCTAATCTGAGATCCTGATGTACTTTCTGGACCCCCAGGCCTTTGCTTGACACCTCTGGGATGCTGATCATGACCCAAGAAGAACATCAGCTACAACAGAGAAGGGTCCAGGCACATATACTTATTCGTTCACTGAACATGTCTCACCTGGTAGGGGCTCAACGTTTGCTAAACAGGTGAGGAGTCCTGCCCCACCTACGCGGGGGGAGGGGGGTGGGGGAGGACGGAGGGCACTGTGCCCTGGAGGCTGGGAGGCATGGGGGCGGGAGGTGTCAGAAAAGAGCCTATTCTGTAGTCAAACAGACCCAGTTCTGCATGTTGCTTTCTTGCTGTGTGACCTTGGGCAAATGGCTTCACCTCTCTGGGCCAAAAGGCTCATCTGTACAACTGAAATAATACTGTCCAAATCAATCAGCAAACTCAGGCACAAAGCAGCCATTACCCCACCGGGTCTCCACCCGTAGTGCCATGGGGCTGCAAGCCCCTTTCCACAGTCCCCACCCACAATCAGGAGGATAGCCATCCGGATGAAGGCAGGGAAGTCCACTCCACCAGGGGGACGACACTGATTGGGCTCCCACCGAGCCATCTCCAGACTCTGGGGCTCAACTTCCCACTCAGCAGAGCAAGACCCCCACAGGTCCCTCCAGTGGGCCCTCCGGCTGCAAAGAATCAAATGTCTTCCTTGCCAAAGGAGGGAAGAGGGCGCCAGAAGGAAGAGAAACCGCCCAGGGGGAGAATCTAAGAAGGGAAAGAGGGGGGCTCACTTCTGGCGCGCAGGCCGGTAGGAAATGGCCAGGCCAGCAGGAGGCCCGGGAAAGGACTGAGCGCGTTGCAGTCAATTGTTCCAGGCGGGGCACTTGGGCTTGGGTTCACGCGAGGGTAGGGGCTTCCCGAGGGAGCCGGGCTGGGGTCTCTCGGCTTACGCCAAGTCCGCCTTCCCGACGCCCGCAGAGCAGAGCGCACCAGACCAGAGACGTGCGGCGGGAGCTGGGCGGGGTCCCTGGCAGGGCGCCATCCGCGCCACGCCGTCCCGGGACCGGGGCGCGAGGAGGGAGGCCACCTCCAAGGAGAAGCTCCGGACCGGGACACTAGGCCGGGGACAGCGCGGGGGGTCCTCAACAGGGGGGACCCGCAGAAAACCGATCCCCTCCCCCGCCCCTCCGCATCTGGTTTTCCCATCTGCAGAGACCGAGCAGGACAAAGGGGGCGAGGGAGGGCCCTCTGGAGGAGACCGCCCCCCTGCTCACAAAGGCCGCGGCCTCAACCATGGGGCAGACGCGGGAGGAGGGGCTGGGGGGGAAGGGCAGACACACGGGAAGCACCCCCAGCAGAGGCCGACCCCTCGGGGCTGCAAGTGGAGATGCAGAAAAGCCCGGATGGCTGGAAGGTGGAAGCGCACCCTGCGCAGATCAAAGGCTTCCCCATCCCGCCTGCGCTGGGAGGGCCGTGGGGGGTGGGGGTGCGCCCCGCGGGCATAGCGACCCTCGCCTCCGCCCGTGAGCTGCAGGCCCGCCGACGAGGGAGGGGCACGAGGAAAGGGGGGAGGGGCGTTTCCCCCCAACCCGGGGCTGGGCCGGGCGATCCGCGGGATCGGCGTGCGTGGGGAGTCCCAGGCGGGGGTTCGGAGGGTGGCACATAGGGCGGCACCTACGCGGGGCCGAGGGAGCCGCAACCCCAACGCGGGGTGGGGGCGTGCAGCGGCGCTCACCGATGGGCAAGGCCCCACCCCTCGCCCCCTCCTCCGGGCCCAAGCGCACGTCCGGCGACGAGGCGGGGTGGCCCGCGCGCCTAGCGGGGGCGCACCCGGCGTCACTAGGGATTGTAGCAGCGCCGTGGGCGAGAAAGGGCGGGAGGCTAGAGGTACGGGGGTGGGGTGCGCTTTGTGCACCGACCGGGAGAGGAGGGGGGCGGCGTCCCCACTCACCCTGGCGCGTGGACACGTTCCTCTCGTTGGCCGCCTGCAGCACGACCTGGGCGCAGCTCTGTTCCAGGGCGAAGAGCTCGTCCTTGCCCACCTTGGTGGCCTTGCCCGCCTTAAGCGTGCCGCTGGGCCCCGACGGCGCCAGGTAGCGGCCCTCGCAGTCGCGGAAGGCCACCTTGCCGGAGCGGAACTCGAGCGTGTAGCCGGTGGCGGGCTCGGGGCGCGCCACCAGGCGCCCGTCGTGGCGCAGGAAGCGGTGGTCGGCGGTCTGCACGCTGTAGCGCTGGTCCTGGAAGGCCAGCGTGATGAGCGAGTCGACGCCCCAGGGCACGTCGCGGTCCACGGCGATCTCGTCCGCCGGCCGCGCGCTCAGGTGCGCGTAGCGCTTGCGGGTCAGGCTGTAGATGTTGACCTGCGGGTGCATGGCGATGTGCACGCTCCACTTCTCAGCCGGCGACACGGTCTGCGCGAAGCACGACAGGCGGTCCTCGGTGCCGCCGAAGTAGCGCCGGTGCACCTCGGACTGCAGCGACCAGCGGCCGTCGTCGTGCGCCACGATGAGAAAGCGGCAGTCGGGGCCGGGCACCTCGCGCTCGCAGGTCACGTTGCCGTCCTTGTCCGCCGCCAGGTAGCGGCCCAGGTGGCTGCGCAGGCACACGGCCGCGCTGCCCGCCTCGTCGGGCGGCTGCTCCAGCGTCCAGATCTGCTTCTTCTTCAGGCTGCTGGCCGACGCGTTCACCTTGAACCCGAACGCCTCGGCCGTCAGGTACTTGTTGCCGCAGTTGATGAGGCCGAACTGGATCTGCACGGCCTCGGCAGTGCCGTTGGCGGTCATGGTGGCGGCGGGCGGGCGGGCCCCGGCGCGGCCCGGGAGGTCGGTGGCGGGTCCCCGCAGCGGCGCCCTGCTCCTTTGTTCGCGACCACGGCCCGGCGCGCACCCTCCGCAGCGCTCCACAAAGCCGGCCCGCGGCGCGCGAGCCCCTTTCTAGGCGGGGTGACGTCAGCGCAGCGAGGCCCCGCCTCCGCCCCGCCCCGGGGCTCGGCGGGGGAGGGGGCGCAGGGAGCGCGCCGCGCGGGGACCGGAGGGGCGCTGGGTGGGCGGCTGCGCTCTCCGCGTGCCCCGGTTCTGCACGGCCGGCCTCTGCAGAGCCCCTACCTCGCGCCGCCGCCCCCTCCCCCCCAGCAGAGCCCCACCCCCCGCAGCGCCGCAGCCTGAGGATCCACCCGGAGCTCGGGACCCGTCGGAGGCCCCCCATCCTAAGCTAGCGGGGAGGAAGGGTTTGAGGTTGTGACAGAGACCGCAAAGGCCACAGAACGCGTTAGTACTGGGTGGAGGCGGTCCGGAGGCTGCTCGGAGGAGGTGGCCTTAGAGCAGAGCTTTAAAGGGGAGAGGGCGCACTCACCCACCGCGCAGCGGCAGGTGAGCCAAAGAGGGGTGGGGGGCAGGCCAGGAGCTGGGGGAGGGGCCTACAGACCCCAACTCACCCAACTCAGCACTTGCAAGACACTTCCATGAAGGCCACCCAGACCCCGCCCTGTGGCCCAAAATAGTTCTTCGAGGTAGTGGCAGCGACAAGTGACTGCTGTTCCCATTCTGGGGATCAGGGTTCTGGTCTTCCAGGCACTGGGGTGGGCTGATCAGAGGTGGGACCACTCCTGGCCCCACAGTCTGAAGGGCGGGGTTGGGGTCGGGGCTCCAGGACCAGTGCGCCCTTCACTTTATACCCCCAGGCCCCCACTGCATAGGTGGCTGAGCTGGTAGAAGCCCTCCTCCTTCAGGACCCCCAACTGTCTACCATCCTCCCGCAAAGGGGACACTCCCTGCAGATGCTCACCCCCCTCCCACCTCCTCCCCCTTCTAGGAACACTTCCCTTTTCTAAGGCCAGGACTTTTGCTGGGACATTCCCCACATGCCAAGCAAGCCCCGTGGAATGCCAACATGACCACAAGCTGCCCACAAGGTCTTGGGGCCAAAGGCAAAGAGCACTGAACTAGCTCCCCAACTGGTTGGTCTGGGCCTTGTCTTCTCCCAGGCAAACCCCTCCAGGGATTTTTTTTATCTTCTGGGGAAAAATGGTGTCACCTTCTCACCATTGTGGCTCTATTGTGTTTACTGGCAGGGCCTGGAACCCCAGGCAGGCAGTGGCCATAGCCTCCCCTCCCACAAAACCCATCCCTCAAGAGCCGGAACATCAAAAGTTTCTCATTTTGAGGTTATCTATTAGGCTTGAAACGCAGGATCTCACTGGCTGTGTGACTTTAGGCAAGTTGCTTAACCTCTCTGAACCTCAGTTTCCGTTTTGTAGAAGAGATACAAATCCCCCATCTCAGGAGTGTCCCTGGGGGCATGGAGCTCAGACACCGTCCCTGTCCACCTTCAGGACCCATTCCAGTCCCCAGGAAGCCGTGCATCTAATTAGAAAGACCCCAAACCTCTGGTCAACTTCCAAGGCTCAGAGGAGAGGCGGATGAATAGCTCTAGGCATTTCCCGAAGGCTGTGTGGTGCCGGCTTGGTGCTGGCAGGAGGACTGGAGCATGCTGAGACCCGCCTACTGGGATCAGGGCTGGGCGGCCCCTCCCCACTCTGGCCCCGAGGCCCCCTCCTACAGCTTTGCAGCCTGGAGGCCAGGAAGGGGACTGGGGTTGGGGGCTCCTGCCTGTCAACCAGACCAGAGGTGGGAGCGGGTCCAGTCCTTCCCAGGTGATGCCTTGAGGGGTAGAAAGACTGGCGAGTCCAGATGGGTTTGGCGGCAGTCTGGGTTCAAATGCATGTCTCTGGCTCTCGGCTTTGCCCTCTCTAAAAGGGGCACGGTGACAGCACCTGCCCCGGCATAGTTGCCAAGAGGACAGTAGAAGCTAAAGTTGGTGACTCTACACATCAGGCGCTTAGGAGACAGTGCTTGGCATGTGGTCAGTGCTCAGCAAACGCCAGCTGTTTTATTATTCACTAACAACATTGACGGGAGGATCCTGGGGACACAGACGGGTCTCCTCTGGCCCCCAGGGTCCCCAGGATCCTAGTCGTGTGGTCAAGCAAAGGCAGGGTCTGTGGGAAGCTTTAGGATCCGTCAGCCAGGAACTCCGGAGCCTTGTGCCTATTTGTTGAGTAAATTAAAATCGACTGGTGCAAAGGGCAGAGGTGGGGGTGGGGGAGGAGGAGGAGGAAGGAGCCCTGGGACCTGCCCGCAGGACAAGGGCAGTCCCAGTGAACAAAATTGAGCCTGCAGGTTGCAGGACAGCAGCTGAGTCCTGGGACTCAGCGAGGTCAGCTGGGTCAGTATGTGAAGCTCTGAGGTGAATTTCAACGGACGTGGAACTAAATTACTAGTATTTAAGGTTTTTTTTCTTGAAGAGAGGATAGGTTCACATGGCCCAGACATTCAAAAATGTAAAGGAGTCTTTGTCCGCCCGCCCTGCCCCATTCCCACCCCACGGGCTCCGTAAGTGCAGTTAGATTTGTTTCTTGTGTTTTCTCGTCTTCACACGAACACAAGCAAGCATGGGTTTGTATTCTTCTCGCCATTATTTTCAAACCTTTTATCACTTGGTGTATCTTTTTTTTTTTAAGTAGCCTCTACACCCAATGTGGGCCTCGATCTCATGACCTTGAGATCAAGAGTCACGTGCCTTTGTGACTGAGCCAGCCAGGCGCCCGAAAGCCTCTTGGTTTTAAAACATATATATGATTATAATTAATTACTGTTGGGAAGCCAATACAAGAACAAAATCTCAGGCAAGTTTAGCAAAAGAGCATTTTCACAAGTCACCCACTGCTCTGCACCCACGCCGTGTGCCCTCCACCGGCCTTCCCCACGCCTCGGTTACACGGGGCACCTCTAAGTCCAGCACGGTCACACGGTGCTGTCGGCAGACCCCGCCTCGGGTCCCTCTGGGGAAGGACAGGAACATGGTCACTGTGTCCCTCGGCCCCACAGGAGCCCAGGCACCACCTAAGCTGCCCTGAAGGAGAGCATGGCAGGAATCAGACCTGAGCGGCTCCTGGGCTGACCACCTTGTGGCTTGTGCCTGATCGGGGGAGGGAAATGAGGCCACTGGGAAGGGCTGCTCAGCTGGCCCCAAACCCAGTTCCCCAGGTGAGGATCCTGAGCCCCGGAGACCCAGACTCCTTCTCCCCAGCCCAGCAGCCTCAGGGGGGACCCCCGAGCCCACCTCTGATGAGCAGGGGCTTTCTGAGACGAAATCCCAATGTGCGCCTGGCACAGAAGTCAAGGAGTGGACACTGGAGTCCCTTGGGTCCTGGCTGTGACGCATACTTGCCGTGGGACCCTCAGTGAATTACTTCCCTCTGGTGCCTCGGTTTCCTTGCCTGTCCGATGGGAATAATAGCACCTGTAGAGTTTCTCAGGAAAACAGAGGTAGATATAATCCCGGCACAATGTTCCGTAAAAACAGCAACAAAATGTCTTCACCTTCACTCCCGGAAGTCGAAGTCGGCGGGTGCACTATATCCTGATGTTTTTGACGCGTGTGTGAAGTTTTTCATAACAATAATAAAACCTGGCAGACATTGTAAAGCCTTCTTTTCACCTGCGCCGTAACTGTGTGTGAGTGCTGCCCGTGGTGTTCCGACCTCTGCCCTCTCTGTGATGATTTGGAAATGTATCAAGTAGATGGAGGTGGAGAGATGCTAGATGGATGGAGGGTTGGATGGATGGACAGACAGACAGATGGTAGGTTGATAGATGATAGATGCATAGATAAATGGATGGATGGATGGATAGTGGATGGTGGATAGATTGACAGGTAGATAGAAAGATGGATGATAGATGGATAGGTAGGTAGATAGTAGGTTGATAGATGGATAGGAGATAGCGATAGATATTTAGATACAGAAATGCATAGCTTTATTTCTGAGGGTCTTGTTTATATATTTGGCTTGGCTTCAGCTTCTTTCTCTGTATCTCGCTTCCATCCCTTGGCAACTCTTCCCAATGAACCACCCCCCTCCCAGTCACCAGGGCTGCTTGCACTCCTCCCCACACCAGGGCATGTCGGGAGTCATGAAATTCCTACCAGGCTGATGCTTCCAGCTCAATCCGGGGCAATGACTGCCCTGACCAGCCTCGGGCTCGCCTCCACCCCTCCCTGGGCTGAGCCGCGCTATCCAGGGCTCCTACACCCCGGATTCCCGAGGGGTCCTCCTGGCAGGAATCTTCCCCAGCCTGAGAGCTGGGTGCAAGCTTGACCGGCCCCTGGGGACCCTCTTGCTGGGCTCTGCCCTTGCAGGGCACAGAGTCCGTCTGGTGGGGGAGGCAGGCATTCATTCTCATAAGAGCTCCAGGCATTGTGCTGAGAGCTTTATCTGCTTTAACGTTCCAACAAGCTGGGCGTCTTCCCCACTTCCAAGACGGGGTGAAGGAACACACCCCGCAGAAGGCGGATTGGTGGTTGCCGGGGGATGGGGAGGGACTGCTTGATGGGTACAGGGTTCCTTTTGGGGTGAGAGAAATGCCCTGGAGGTAGGAGCAGGTGCCGATGAATGTAGTTAATACTACAGAAGTGTATACTTTATCTTTTTTTTTTTTTAAGATTTTATACATTTATTTGACAGATAGAAACATAGCGAGAGAGGGAACACAAGCAGGGGGAGTGGGAGAGGGAGAAGCAGGCTTCCCACAGAGCAGGGAGCCCGATGCGGAGCTCGATCCCGGGGCCCCGGGACCATGACCTGAGCCAAAGGCAGATGCCCAACGACTGAGCCACCCAGGCGCCCCCTTTATCTTTTTTTTTTTTAAGATTTTATTTATTTGACAGAGAGCGAGAGAGCACAAGCAGGAGGAATGGCAGGCAGAGGGCGAGGGAGAAGCAGGCCCCCCATTGAGCAGGGAGCCCCACGCGGGACTCGATCCCAGGACCCCGGGACCATGACCTGAGCCGAAGGCAGATGCTTAACCGACTGAGCCACCCAGGCGCCCCGAGAGTATATACTTT